TGATTAGAGAGGATGAGGATGCCAATCTGACCCCAGCAATTCACCAGGCCATTCCAGAACTTTGCTGAGAGGCGGGGGGAGGCCCCACTGGGTCTGGAGTTATGGAGAACATTCTGTGGAGAGGCCAACAGAGCAAGGGGATGAAGCAACAGATGCCAGCCAACTCTGGTCCAGCTTCTTGTCCCTCTGGTGGCCCAGCCACTTGCCCCTTCTGATTGTTTTCTGAAGGGGCCTCCTGGGCCTTCACCTGTCTGGCTCTGGCAAGAACCTCCTCTCTCTGTGGCACTTTAGCTGGTTCTGGCAGCCTCTTTTGGGCTGGGTTTCTCGCCCTAGAGGCTGGCTCATCCTACTCGTGGTGGAAGACCTGGCCCTTACTACAACCTTGGGCCCAGACCAGATACAGGAAGTAGTCAAGGTCACAGAAACCTTCCAGGTGCCCTTGTATTTGCCATTTGCCTCACGCACTCGGCAACCACGCCGACTCACAGTCTTCTGTAGAGAAGTGAGTGAACCTCCACCGAGAGGGCTCTGGCAGTCACAGTCACGCACAGGAGCAACCTGGTGCTCACTGGGGGCGGCACAAGGATGGAATGATTTTTTTGTATTCTATATTTATTTGTTTTATGTGTATAGGTGTGTTGCCTGCAGTTTGTCTGTGCACCGTGTGTGTGCAGTATCCTTGGAGACCAGAGAGGGTGTGGGATCCCCTGGAACTGTAGCTATAGGTAGTTGTGAGCTGACATGTAGGTTCCGGGCATGACTTAGGTCCTCTGCAAGCCAGTGTTTCAAACCACGAAGCCATCTCTCCAGCCTGGTGGGGCAACATTTGCTTGTAGAATATTTTTCTGAATTTCTACACTTTCTAAAGTGAGCAGACTTTATTTTTGTAAATAGAAAAAAAATATACATATTCATCGTATGTTTGAAAATTAGCCGCAAGTGTAAAATATTGTAAGAATATGTAGAATTTCCAAGCAGATACCCTCAGCTCTACCTCCGGGAGAGGATGAGGCTTTCGGTAGCCTCTTCAAGGCCAGATAGATCCAGGCAATTGTGTTGATCAAAGGGCAGAACCAGGAAACTCCTAGAATAGCTGCTCTCTGTTCTGACTGCGGTTTTACAGTTAGAGCTGATTCCCGTGTTTCCGGCTGTCTGCCTGTTCCTGTTTAAGGCTCTTTGTCTCTTTCTTTTCCTCCGTCCCTCCGTCCCTCCGTCCCTCCGTCCCTCCGTCCGTCC